AGCATCATAGCCTGTATCACCAGTTCCAACCTGGTAGTCCATCGTTCCACCTCCGTCCTCACCTCTGTACGACCACTTTCAACTGGAAGTCCATCCGTGCACCTCCTCCCCCTCCAATTAGTTCCGAAAAGCGGACCTGTCGACCCCTTGCGAGGTACGCGGTTTGAAGCTTTTTGGTAGACTCTCCCAACCCTCTTCAGTCCGCGCACCTCGACAGGTCCGCTTCCGAGAGCTGACTGGAGGCGAGGAGGTGAAAGTCATGGACTCCTGGTAGAGAATGGTCGTACAAGAAGCTATAGGGAGCTTTAGGAGGTGAGGTAGGGCTCGGGCGAAACGGTTTCCCCATCATTGCAGTAGGATTATTCTTGTTCTAGAGGCTCTACGATACATATAGATGCACTCCATATCTCGGAGATAGGAAGGGCGTGGCCGCGCACTAAATTTAGTGACGTGGGATGCTTCTGCTTTTAGGATTTTTTCGTTTGCGATCCTGTCCTTGCCGATCAAAAACATGACTATAACAGTCCCAGAGTGGCAGCCAGAAGCGCAGTCACTGAAACATTCAAATGAAGTACGCAGGCACGGCTACTCCTGCTCTCTCATAAGGAGTGTAGAGAGTTGCACAACCCCATATAAATCGTAAACCAAGCCCTGTTATCCTTCACCTCAACTCTAAAACAACCTGTTTTTGCCCAGGTGTAAAGAACTGATAATGGGCCCCAAGCGCCTCATCCGTCGGGCTCTGCATTACACAGGACCTAAAAAAGTTGCAATGGAAAACCCTTGAGGATTAGCCCTACCGGCAGATATGTTCAAGAGAGATTTCTCAATTTTTTTTTCAGAAAATATACCGCAAACGAGGATGTGAACTACAGTGCTCATTCGTCTCGATCGAGTTTTCGATCCGAGTCGATGACGTCACGAAGTGACGGACGTGGACGTTCAGTGAGCTCGGAAATCATTACGGTACTGCTTCAGGATTTCGCAAAGTTGGGCTAAATATAGGAAATCTTGGTGAAAATCGAATTTTCGCTTGGATTCCTCGAATTTTATTCGATGTAACAATCAATATTTCAGCACATCTATGCAAACATTGCAAGTGCAACTCAATGAAATACAGCTGTTCAGGGCTCTGATACACGATCGTATCCGGTTTATATCGCAATCCAGGACTATCAACCAGAAAGCACCGATGTTGAGGGTATTCCCTTGGAACAGGGTCAGATTGTCGAAGTATTGGATAAGAAGAATCCAGCCAGTTGGCTGGTACGAACTAAGGTCTGGTCCGGTTTCTCATCAGATTTTGTAGTAGTAAAGAGATCAGAATAGAAAAAAAATAATTGGGGGGGGGGATTGAGGTGAAATCGTGTTTAGAAAGGCGCAGCTCGCTTTCAATGTCCGAAACGGGTGCTAGGGTCAAATTACTTTCATCTATCAGTTACACTCCATATCCTGGGGGTGGGACGGGCGTGCCTACATGCTTCCTTTGAACATTGCGCAGGATATGCTTTTCGTGGGATATTTCCATTTTAGATCACTGTTATCCTGAACAAAGGCACGATTGAATCGCCTTAAACTGTTAGTATCTCACCAAAAAGCAGCCACCGCCGCTTTCAAGTCTGCAGCCACGCCCTCTCCATCTCGTGTTTTGGAGTTTAGTTAACCCCGTTTTTATCAGCTGTGGCGAGGCCCCAAGTAGGTCTTCTTCTCGGGGAACCATGGCTGGCTTATATGCCTTTGAAGAATTCGAGAATTCTACCCTTCGCGCAGCGGTAGCTCCTTTCCCGGTATATCGCAATGGGGCGCTATTCCCTTTTATAAGAGAAACGAAGGGGTGAGGGAAGGGGCACTTTGCTTCACCCTCCTGTAATCATAAGAGCGGTGCGGTGTACCAGTAGTGTTTTAGATATTCAATAAAGGTATAAAACGGAGCTAATTACTCAAAGGGAATGGGGGGGGGCATTGCCGTTAATTCCTGTCAGCATACTTTTTGCTGGGAATTTCTTTCACAGACTCTACGAATGCGCTGGGTACAGCCATAAACCGTTAAGCGGTATAAATTGACCAATTCGAAGCAGTTGGAGAAATAGTAGTTGTTTCCAGGCTCGCCCACCCAGATCAGGATGGATTCCTGGGTCATATTTCGAGACTCCGACAGAATACTACAAACAACGCCGAAGAACTCGTGAACTCGAAACCACTACCATGACAATGACCGAAGATCAAGAAGCACTTCTCAAACGAGAGTAAGTTCACCGTGTTTATTGGAGAACACTATAATCTTCTCCTACAAGCTTTACTCGAGTCAAGCCTGGTGCCAAATCTGGTCAGTGTCTTACAGTTTCTCTTAGCGCTCTTCTTGTGCTTGGGTGGAGCATCAAAGACATCGGAACTCTTTGCTGGTGTGGGCACCTCTGGCTGAAACTGACTATTAGACCTGCGAGGGGCATTTTCCATTCCGCTAGTTATTTTACTAGCATTTTGACTAACATTTTGGTGAGAACTGTAAGCCTTGCGGAGTTGCAAAATGGTTCAAGCGTGCCATGCTGACTACAAGAATTTACAGGTCTTGACGAGATGGCCTGCACAAGATTCGTTGAGCAGCATTTGTTGCCCCTACTAAATCGAACTGCGCCGGGGAGATTTCAGTGGGGATTCTGAGCTCGCGAAACTCAATTCTGGAAACGATAAATTAGCTCATTCCCGGTTCTCCTTGACTATCCCATGGGTAGAAGACAGAGTGAACCTTCTGGCTCAACGTTTAGAATCAAATTTTGAAACCAGTGGATCTTTCCTCAGATCCACTCCGGGACATTGGAGGCTAACAGTCCGTGACAAACAGAATTTGGAAAAAAGTCGTTAGATTGGGCCAAAATGTGCAATTGCCAGATGTTTTCTGTCAGCACCCTCGTCACGTTCACATATGAAGAGGCGTTCCGGGTGAAATAGCTCGCAACAATCTTTCCAAGCGGGATTTTTGAAGAAGGAGTTGGAAAGAGAAGTTTCTGTGGCAAAATAAGTAAAATGATTGGAAAAGTGGTAGGAACTAGGAAAAATTTGTCCCTGCCATTGGGAAAAACTCCTGCGAGGGAACGTCCCCTGCATCACAGCAACAGAAACCCTGCGAACCTGTGGTCCCTGTGAATTAGAACCCACCTCAAGGTTC